AGTGATGTGGGAAGGTTCAACCACCAACGTCCACCTCTGATGTGGTGGGCCAACATCGCAATACAGGAGGCGCTGCTTTCAGAGCAGCCCTCATAAATAGCCACAGAAATACGCTCCAAATGCCGAACCAAGATCCCGAATGCTCCTGCTCTACCTGTTCTCTGTGCTCTCTACTCCTCTGTCACGCTGCTCAAGGGCTCTAATGAGCCAGATTTAATCTTAATGGATACTAAAGACTGATACCAGCAAATTTAAAATCTGGAGTGGATATGGCTTAGACTTGAAGAAAAGATGGGAAAGGGGAGAGAAGATCATCATTCCGCATCCAGAGATCATCAGTATCACACAGTCCTCTGACTTAAATACCCACCTGTAGATGCATCTAACAGCCTTCCCAATTTAATTCGGCAAATACTGCACAAATCTAGTCCAGAAGGATGAGGCTTTTCCTTCCCTCATGGCACAGACACTTTCTTATCACTGGCAGAAAGTAGTACTTTTTCTCTGGGGACAGAATTTAGGAACTCCTGACTCGGAAGCTGCCTGCTAGGGAGAACTTCAATCGATGTCCGGGCCAGAAGTCTTATCATCTTCAATCAGAGGGCCATCCTGATATCTCTTATATACACGTATATGGTGTAATAAAGACAGCTACCCCGGGCAGATAACAAGAATAATTAGATTTGGGCATAGCAGTGATAATGAGAAAAGGAAATGCTCTAAAATATATTAAGTCTACCGAAAAATGAAAAAGCAAAGTGGCAGCAGAATACTGAAAGGTCACTTTGTGATTAGCGTGGAAGAAGTTCATTTAAATCTACAAAGAAGTGGGGCTGTGGTTCATCACTTTGGAAGCTCCGTTGCTGGAAATGGGGTGAGCCACAGGGGGGCAGGGAGCATTAGCACTGTTTGTTTGTGGCTGCTTTGACTGGCTACAATGCTTCTGGGGCTCAGAATGAAAAATAGGACAAACGAACAAGGGTCTCTTAGACCATCCCTGCCTAGAGAAAGGAAAACCAACCCAGCAATTTGCTGGTCTGGAGGCAAACAGCTCAGCAGAACTGCAAGCACAAAACACTTCTGTTTTGAAATCTCAGCCTTTCTTCTCATTTTCCGCTGCGCTTCCACTTTCCCTGCAGTGATCGAACTTTTGGGAGCTTGTTACAGTCGCCTCAACATCTCCCATTTATCCATTATCCTGATGGCATCGTTGCTTCAAAACTGCCCAAACTCTTCCTCTGCAGCCCTCAGCTGCTCCTCCTCGCAGCACCGCACCTCCCCAGGACCAGCAGCGTCGTCTGGGCTGACATTGGAACCTGCCCACACGCACAGCTCACACTGAATGGAAGGACGAAGAAGAGGCTTTCTGAGGAGCACAGCAGCAGAAGGGAACACCGCACCAAATGCATTTTGGAGAAGAAAGATGTTCTGCAGATTGTTTCTGCTGCGCTTTTGTTTTTATGAACATCACGCGCACGCAGAGCCACAGATGTTCATCATTTCTATATTATTGTAAAATGAACATAATAATAATGATTATAAGAACGGATGCCCGTTCAAATTTTAATTACAAAAAAAACACATCCTTTATCTTTCATTTAAACTGTTTTTTATTCCTCACACCCCAACACTGCTGTTTGTTGTGTGGTTACACTGTGCCTTTCCACAGCCACGGCGCAGGGCTACACTCGGAGCGAGACGCAACTGGAACTCACCAACACAAGCCCTGCTACGTGCAGTGCTGCAGTGTGCTCACAGCTTCTGGACCGGGCTGATGTTTTAACAGCCCACGAGCAGGAGGACGCACCATTAAGGCCTTTTTTGTGGGAGCAGTTCAAAGTACAATAACTGGAATACGCTGCTCTGCTGCAGTGGCTGTTCCAGAAGCACGCACGCCCTGCCTGTTTCCCTGAAGCTGCAGCTTTGTTGAAGTTGGCCGTGGAGCTTGTTGCAAACACACAGGTTTCTGTGCTGTGATTACTATTTAAGTTTGCACTTCCTCTGGCTCACTGTCTACTGCAATTATGCAAATAAGATGCAACTTTATCCCTTCAGCATAATTACATCAAACACAATCGGGCTATATTAAGACTGACTTAAGAGGAACAAATTCAGTTCATGTAATGATTTCCTAAATCACCCCATGGGGCTGTGGCAAAGAAAAAGCTGTCCCAAGGGTGACATCAAGCATCTAGACAAATAAGCACACTTCTGGGGTCTGACACTACGTGCTTCACGTCTGTGTTTTGCATCCAAGAACCACGGCTAGAGGAGTGGCAGTAAAAAATGTCTTTTTCTGTAAACTGGCCATTTCAGCTTATGACTTCTGTGACCAACAGCTCTTGAAATGTCAAAAATCTGATAATCCAAAGCTCCCACGTATGCTTTAACAGGATGGCACATTAATTTTCAATGCAATTTAACTTTTCCTGGCCTATAAGACTTACTTTTTTCCCTAAAGTGTGAGAAGAGGTTGGCAGCATCACTTATTTAATATCAACACGATATTTTCTAGACGGGGGAAGCTGCACCGCTGTTTGCTTCCAATGAAGTTGGCTGGGAATCCTTTCCTAACATACCACAAGAGCAAATGCTCTTAAGCAAAACCAGGGCAGCCCCCTTACTCACTCCTACCAGAGAAGCACTCACTGAGCCCAGCGGAAGGCAGCTGGTGCCTCGTGGTGCCTGCAGCCCGCGAGCCGCACCGTCGGCAGCAGCTCTGCAGGGAAAGGAGCCTACCAGGCTGGGCACTGCTCAAGATATCCTCCTTTAGGGCAAATTGAGTTCTGTTCTGCTAATTTAGTTTGTTTCCATCAATTTATAGGGAAAGTCAGGGCTTCTTATTTCATTTATTTTATGTATTCTCCCACAGAAGTACATTACTAAATTCTAGTAGCAGATGTTCATTGCTGGATGATAAAAGAACAATGTTAAAATGTCTGTTTCCAGTTCTCCTGGATTCAATGCCAAATGAAATTACTACAAAAGAAAAACAAAACTACATACAGCAGTCTGAATGCAAGAAAGGAAGACAATCCATACGGGTAACAGCCTCACTAAGCAAAGAAATGCTATCACCTGAGGAATCCTTGCTTCCTGTAAGTAACTGATTTCAGTGGATGCTTCTCATGGGGAGCGAAACAGAAATGGAATTGGTTTGAAAGGAGAAACATTGAATTCTGGAAAACTGCTTCACACCAAGAGGAGCACTCAGCAGGGCAGGCATGAGGGTTGTATTGGAGAAGGACAGTATGAGAATGACTGCACAGGAGAAGGGAAATGTGCTCTGTGCTCATAACCATCCCTCTACTCTTCCCCCTAACAGGGCTAAGCAGATGGCAAATACAGATGGTAATTAGGGATGGATGAATGAAACTGAAAAAGGTAAGAACCAGCCTGAACCTTTCTAGTGGTCACAAAGTGTGCAGGAATCATTTGCTATTGACATTGGAACTGCAGCTCTAGGACATGGTGCTCTGCCTCTCTCTTCACACCCAGCGTGGCACCAACCTTCGGCTGATGGCTTTCCCCTTTCTGGAAAACAGCACTCAAAATATGCACCTGCCTGCACGGCAGAAACTGTGGAAGAACGCATGCAATTATATATATAGGCAAAATATAATTCAAGCCTCACAAACCTTACAAACAGTAATCGTGCAGTCTGTGTGAGTGCAAGTGCAGAATGCAACGAGGCAGTTTTTAGGCAAAAGCCCAGTATAGTTGGGGAATAAGCTGTGTGCAGACTCAATGCTCTCACATCCTCCAAGGCACTACATGTGCTGATATCTGTAACTGTTACTTAGCCAACTTTCCGTACCTGCATCCCTTCAGTCTGCCGTTGTAACTCATTATTGCCAAAAGAAAACTCCATTATGTCCAAAGTGTTTAACGTGTAATGCAGAAGGAAAATGTTTTAAAACAAACACATTTGGAAAGTTTTTCTTTCTGTGTGCTGTTGGCAGACTTTGAGATTTTCTGTCAGAAGCCCTCAGGGATGAATGCAAACAGTAGGGAAAGATTATTAAAATGCTGTGTTTTTCAGAAACAAACCACTTCATTCTCTACCAACTTTACGTATTTATGGAGAAACAACATGTAAAAATGCCTCTGAGGTTCAAAAATTTAATATGAGGGACCTGAGAAGAATAACTAATGAGGTGGTAGCGTATACACAGCTAAAATGAATGCACACATTTGCTTTCCCTGTGAGGGAAGACACCAAAGCCCATTTTTGTGTGCACAACACACGCAGGGACTCTCACGCCATGCACAACAGAGGAATTCATTCTCTTTACTTTGTGTCTATGAAGAGTTTTCCTTTTCATGTCAAGGAGAACATGGACTCTAATCGCATGCTTGGTTTGCCCAGAGGAAACTGTTCAGATAGTTAAGCATCTCCACAGAGGGGACAGCAAATTAAGGACAGATCTGAGACAGACTTCAGGGAGAAGAGAAATGCTGAGAAAGGAGGAAATCTGTAACAGAAGTGTCTCAATCTTTATATAGATGCACGCACATCTACGAATACATATATTGGTAGAGTACACAAAAAATATAAATACATATAGCATATGATCTGAATAAAATACAAGTTAAAGGGAAACTGCTGACTTGAACCTGAATTTTCACTTCCTAAGTATGGAGTTTATCTGCTGTTTCTGAGGGGTATGTAACTGCAATGCATTTTCTCTTCCTACGTACATACATGACACACTAAGATCATTTTGGTTAACTGCCTTTGAGGTGACATAGATAACTGCTGGTAGCTTTTCAGATACAGCATATAGTTCTCAGATGAGGAACACAGACATTCAGGAAAATTCCAGGGGATAAAGACCAGCTCAGTGTATTTTACACCCTTCCAATACAACCACATCCAGGTACAGCCATCCAAAAAAAAACACACACAAAGAACAAATACAATCCATTTTGTGCCACTCGTTTTCAGGAAACAAGAAGCAAGGCAAGAAGATATGAGAGAAGGTGGGCAGAGCTCTTACCCTCGATGGTCGCTCGCTTGGGCAGGATGGTGATGGCCCCCTCAGCCACGTCCTCCTGCTGCAGCAATGGGCTCACCTTGGAGCCCCACGTGTCCGAGCCCACCCATAGGAAGTGCCCCACTTGGTCAGCCCTCTTGGCAGCTGCCAGGATTTGCCTGTGGAAGAGGACAGTTTGTTCACGACTTAGTTTCATTTCAACATACGATTGCTTGGTAAAAAACAGTGTGTGGCAATTGCAGAACGAATGTATTTCTGTAACCAACAGAACCCAGAAATTTCACAGCACATCGTGCCACGATCTGAGCAGCAAAGATCGAACCTTGCTTTTTAATTCACCCTCTATCCTAAGAATGAAATCCCACTGACTTCACTGAAGCTTTATCCCAACTTCTTGTGTCTCACTTTGGAGAACTGAGCCTCTCAGTACCACCAAAATGTCTGGTTAATTTAAAATTCTTAAGTTAGAAATAAGCCACACTTTTAAAATATTCTGCACATAATTTTAATGGCAAGTGGTATCTGAATGACACGAGCATCCAAGCCACTTTATCATCAGTAACCATCACCTGTCATAAAATACACTCTGAATCTAGGAATTACTCACTGTAGTATGAGCTTGGAGGGAGGAGCATTTTCTTAATGTCTCTGAGGTAAGGTCAGGTCTGCCATCAAACACATGAGTAATTCTACAATATTAAAAACCTTCAGACCTTCACCCAGGGCTGGATGGGGCCCTGGGCAGCCTGGTCTAGTATTAAACGTGGAGGTTGGCAGCCCTGCCTGTGGTGGGGGATTGGAACTTCATGATCCTCAAGGTCCCTTCCAACCCAAGCCATTCTATGATTCACCCTATGATTCACCCCTTGCAGCCTGTCACTCCCTTCTCCCCACAGCACAATCCGAGGTGCCAAAAGGGCCAGGCAGCAGCAGGAGCCCAATGCGACCCTGCAAATAGCAAACCCACAACCCCACACAGCTCCTACCAACAGGCATTCCCTCTTTGTTATCTGTGTTCTTACTTGCTTTCTTTTTTCTGCATGGCTACCAAGCACAAATGAATTAGTCCCCTCAGCCATCCTTACTTTATGTCCTCGTCGTTGGCAAAAATAACGATGGCCCTGGCATTGGGAGTTTCTAAGAGCTGCTTGATGATTTTATCAAAGTCAATGGTCTTGTCCTTGCGATCCTGTGGGATTTTCAGGGACTGAGCGATGCAGAGCCCACCTGTGGAAGAAAGAAGAGCTCAGTCAGCAGGGAGCATGGGAAAGGGGCTGGGGGATACACGTAGACTGAAGGGGCAGCCTGGATGGAAAACACCCCGATCCAAATGTCCTTGCAGACACTTATGCCTCCCTCCAGGCATCCTGAGGTGTACAGTTTGTTGTTGTCAAGGTGGGACACAGCTTCATTCATAGACCCATACACACAATGCACGCCAGAGCATGGCCGTACATTGAGCAGGTGCAAACACCATCATGGAGTAACAAACAAATAAACCAGACAATTGGGTGTGAAAACAACAAAAACAGCACAAACCATGGAAAAGCTTAGACTGACTCAGAAAAACAAACACAACAGGCTGAAATGCAAATGATGTTGACAAGGAATTACAGTTTATCTTGGTGAAGAGCAGGGATCCGTTTTGATTTTGAGTTGAAAGACGTTGGGAGAAAAAGCTTCCACTGAAACAGCTTATTTGAAACAGGAACAACAAAAGAGTCGAAATGTTGGCAAAGGGAAGATTGGTCATGAAAATCTGTACTCATTGAAACGTCCATCACCAAACAGAAGGGAGCTGCCTTGAGGTACAGCACGTCTGTGAGCTGGGCATCTCATAAACACACAGGTAGCGTTGAAAAAAACGAGCATCAATCAATAACAGCAATAAATACATCCATAGCAAAGGAACGCTCAGGTTTAACGCATTTCACACATCACAGTTATTATGCTCGGTTGGGGAAAAAAAAAAACAATTAAAAAAAGAAAAATCACATCTCCCTTGACATTGTGCTTGTCGATCGAGGCAGATGAAGTCACACTTTTGCCTTTATTATTTTGTTTCTCAGCAATAAACTCTTTCATCTTCTCTGGCATGTTAGATAACAACTTTCTCAGTATACTGCACAGTGCGTTAATTAATAGTTTTAGAGGTGCACAGTAAGAACCTGAAGTAGGGACGAATTAATTAAAAGCCAGCAAGATAAAGGAGCTATTTACTGGTATGCTTTAAGTTGCAGATTTGAAAGAACAGTCAAATGAAGAAATAGAGAGGGTGTTCTATAGGACAGCATGCAAGAGGAGGAGTGCCCACATAGGAAAACAAGCACAAAATCACAAGCTGCTACAAAGGGCCAAGATTTAACACACAAAAATGACTTTGCTCCCATGATGGTGTCCCTCCCAGGGGCTCCCACTTTGACACAGCAGAGCAGGAGAGGACGTCTTTGGCAGCACTGAGACCAAGGGTTTGGCATGCTGGGTGGGTTTGCTACTCGGACATTTCTGAAGGTACCGTGCAGACCCCTGGCCATTCCTCACAGCTCCCCATTACTTTCATTCAGAGAAAGTGAGCTCTCAGCAGGATCAGACACAGCTCCCAACAAGAGGCACTTGCAGAGAGATGTGGAACAAGGTTCCCCTCATCTGCTGATCTCAAATATCCAAGTACCAGTCGGAACTTCTAAAGCCAGGGTGGAAGAATGCCTGCAGTTGCTTTTGCCCAGCTATGGCACTGCACCCACGGGGCAGCAGTGAGCAGTGATACAGGAGCAGCAGCAGTGGGGCAGAGAGCTGAAACCACAGCAGAACCCAGCAGAGAGGAGCAGTGTTCTATGCCTTTGTTATAGAATCTTTGCATTTGAGGGATAAAGTAAAAACCAAAACCTGTATCCAGGTGACACATCCTGGTTATAAAACTATTATAAAAACATAGTATCTAATACTAAGTAATTGACACCTACATGATTTTAGGTGCATGAAATAAAGGGTTGGAACAGTTGGCAAGGCTGCTGGCTCAGCAACCCCTCCTGACAATAATTACACTGCTTGTGTGGGTCATGCAATCTCTGCTGCCTGGATAGAGGAGCCAAAAATCTGATTATGGTCGATAATGATTACAGCTGAACTGAGCATCTCTGGACAGCTGTGGCCAGACTCTCAATAGCGAGGAAAATAAGCCTCCAACACAACACACAAAGTATGTAATTCTTGTGTGTGTGGAACTAGGGTGGAGAAAGTGTGGAAACTTGGAGGGGTGGTTTTGGGTCTTTTTTATGCCACAGAGTTTATGCTACCTGGGGAAAGTCAGCTCTTGGTTTCCCTGCTGCCTGCCACAGGTCAGCAGGAATGATGAATAAATGGTAAATGTTGCAGAATCATCACAGGATTATAGAATGGCTTGGGTTGGAAGGAACCCCAAGGATCATCAAGTTCCAACCCCACTGCCACAGGCAGGGCCAGCAACCTCCAAATCTGGCACTGGGGCCCAGGGCCCCATTCAGCCTGCCCTTGAACACCTCCAGGGATGGATGGGGCATCCACAGCCTCTCTAGGCAGCTGTTCCAGCACCTCACCACTCTTCTCTGTAAAGAACTTTCCCCTGGCATCCAATCTAAACCTTCCATCCTTGAGCTTAAGTCAGTGATCAAACCCAAAATACACTGTCTTACAGTATAGTAGCACTGCTAATTTTAACAAGCACAGCTGCCACGGGAACCCAAAGGGGAGAATTGCACAAGAACCAGGGGACAGCCTTAACCAGGCACCTACAGAGCAACATCAGGAGCAAACAGGGCTAAAGCAACACGAGGCCTTTTATGGGCAAATATAAAAGGCAGAAAGTGAGAGGGAAGAGGAACAAGGCTTGGGTGATACAAGGCAAATACGTTGATAGATATCCTGATTTTAAATTGCCAGCATCTCTTCCAGGAAAGTGATGCTATTCCAGATTAACTAATACGTGCTCCAAGTTGGGTCAAGATGTATTATTGTCTTTATTTGCTTTGCTCAAGCCTATGCTGGGCAGCTCTGACACCCAACTACAATCTTGTCTCTGTGGGACCTCATGGCAGGCAGGGGCACACACCACTTCTCTCTCCTCAGCAGCAAAGGATGCTCAAGGAGTTTCCTATTGCAATAGGTAACATGCGTGCATAGTTATTTCAGCTGTTAATTCACAGTGCTCCTGAAGTAAAACCTCTGAGGGAATTAAGCAGTAGAAGTGTGGAAGTTGCAAATTAAAGATTTCTACATTAAAATACGACTCCTGCAGGACTGGTGAGCAGGCACGTGGTGTCACCAGCTACAGAGTGCTGTGGCAACTGCTGGAAGCCACGAGGCTCCAGGTGCCCCAGCCTGCCCTGCGCTGCACCATGAGCTGTTGGCATGCAGCGCTGCAGGCACTGCCGTTCTGCATCCCAATGCAGGCTCCACCTCTAAGGTAAAGGGTGCTAGACAGGCATAAAGCAGATCTGAACTACAGCTTAGATGAAACAGTGCTCAGCAGACAACATGCTTGCTTGTCTTGCTCCCCCAGCACACAGCACACACAGCCCATGCAGCTGGTGCCTCCATTTATCCATTCACAATGGAAAAATGTAAAAACAGCATAATTGAACCAGGGGAGAAAAATTCTCTTTTCTCCAGAAATTTCCAAGTTCCTGAAACTGATGGGTTTGAAGTTTTTATAAGCAAATCCTTAAGATCTCTTCTGTACTGTTGCAGTTGGAGCACTTCTTTTGGGAAAATGAGAGCTCTAGAGGAAAAATGGAGCAATTAATTCCTTGAAAGACGGAATTTGAGGAATTCACAGGAAAGAGCACACAAAGAGCAGACACAGCAGGGACTATGGCAGCCAGCTCTCTACCACTCTGCTCTTGGAACAATGTCTTTTCTCCTCGGGGCTATGTATAGAAGTCCAACATTGGCATCTCTTCCACCCTTCCCTGCTGCCAGCAAATGTTTCCTAATAACATGAATCTGGGAACAGAGCACCAGGAGCAGACCCAGCAGGTTCAGCCCTTCCAGATGTGCCTTTGTCCAGCAAGTAAACCACAAAAACGCGCAGTAATCCACAGAAGGGAGGAGACAACAAGGAAACATTTCCTCCAATAACAACTTGAAAATTATTTTGTTTCCTAGCTTCTAGTTTTCCCAGGGGTTTGTGCCACATTGGCAAACTGATCCAATGGTTTCAATCTATTCCAAGCATTAAAATTCCCCCTGCTGCGAGCCACTGGCAGCACTGAGAAAACAGAAATGCTAACATTTCAACCAAAATTAACAGTGCCTTTTTTTTTTTTTTGGCAAACAAACCAAACACACAGCACAGCCAGGCTGCTGAGGACCCAACACTTCACTCTCACATCAACCACCAGTGCTCAGTTAACACAAAAGGAAGGAAGGGAACCACCCTCCCAGAACATCCCAAAACTCAGGGAGGTGCTGGATTGGACCCTGAAGTCTTCTTTCATTCTTGCAGATGATCGTTATCAACTAAGAACAAAGTCTTGAAGCGAAGTGAAGGAAAGAGCTGCGATGGTGATCACAGGTTTGGGTCTCTGGAGTAGAACAGGATGAGCAGGTTAACAGAAATAGGCTGGAGATGACCTGCTGTGCAAGAGCTGTGAAGCACACAGGGGCTGGGGAGAAGGAGCTGTAAGAAAATATCAGGGCTGCCTTGGTTCACCCACTGATGGGTGATGTGCTCTGCCTGTAAGAGGAAAACCTCACAAGAGTTCTCTGTGCAAGTTCACGCAGTCGTGCATCAAATTGTTGGGGGCATTAAACACCCAGCTCTGGTATTTAAGGGTAATGGATGTATCTGGTAATCGAAGTGTCGCTCCAGTATCCATGGATACCCGTGATTAAGTGGTATTTTGATTCTGGTACAACACTAAGTACATTATTCTGCTTCCCTGAAATTTTCCAAGAGCTATTTTTCTTATCACACCTTAATTGGATTACCAGGTAGCACAGGAGACAATTTAACACTTTTTCAGATGATTTCTCTGCAGAGATTCTCTTTTTGGGGAGCACACTTTCAGCAGCACCGAAAACATTGCTTCAGAAAGTTAGAGTGGCCATTTCTAATTAATAAAAGCAATTCTCAGTTCAACTGCTGAGTTACTTCAGTATGAGCAGCTGCCAGAATCTGCTCCCTGGATGTTTATGGGAGGGGATGCTGTTGGGCTCATGCGATTTCCTTAGGAATGTCGGTGTCCATG